TAGAGCGTCCCAGTGTGTCAGTCCCTTCGCTTGGTCGAGCGGCGATTCGACAGAGCCTGCCCGCGCGCCGCCCCTCCAAGGCATCGGATAGCAGTCTCTTTGAGTATTTTGGACATGCCTGGTCTGGCTCTGCTGTCGACGACTCGGATCAAGCGACGCCAACGCTAGAGAGCACTCGGGGAAGTCTTGCAAGCGCCCCAGTAAATCCTCTGCTGCTGCCGGATTCCTTCCGACATGCGCGAGCTGACGTCGGCACTGCAGCAGCGACAGAGTCGAAGCGACTGTCCATCTCCTCGTTTGTGTCTGCCATCTCCAATCGGGGCTACAGTTGGAGTGGAAAAAGTTCGGTAGCGGGCTCTGAACCGGAAGGTACGTACGTCATGGGCCGACACGGCCTCGTAGCTTTTTCACATGCACATGGCGGCCATTGACTGACCCACCCACTCTGCACAGCAAGGATGGAGAACCCACACGGCACCACGACGGCCACCTCGTCGCTGTCCGTCACTACCTCGAGCCAGAATGGCAGTCTCGGCACAAAAGCCTCGCCTACGCAATTGCTGTTTCCCCAAGCCCAAGCCGCCAGCAATCAGTCCGCGAGCCCCAGCGCCGCCCCAGTCCACCCCGCGCCTCCCCACACCAGCCAGCCGCCTCTGTCAACCCAGCCCCGTCGCTCACGCAGCCGGACGGCCCAGAGACGCATCAGCGGAAGCACGGCTACGAGCAGCAGCCCGGCTAGCCGAGAAATGAGGGAGAAGAAGCCGACAAAAGGCATCATTGGCGTATGCGCACTCGAGTCCAAAGCTCGCAGTAAGCCTGCGCGCAACATCTTTGGCAAGTTGGTCGACGAGTTCGAGGTCAAGATCTTTGGCGACAAGATCATCCTCGACGAAGCCGTGGAGAACTGGCCAGTGTGCGACTTCCTCATCTCCTTCTTCTCCGATGGCTTCCCCCTGGACAAGGCCATTGCCTACACCCGACTGCGCAAGCCCTTCTGCGTGAACGACCTGCCCATGCAACAGGTGCTGTGGGATCGCCGCCTGTGCCTTGGTATACTGGACAAGCTCAGCGTTCCCACGCCAAAGCGCATCGACGTCAGTCGTGATGGTGGACCGAAGCTACCGTCGGCTGAATTCGCCAAAGCCTTGTACGAAAGAACAGGTCTGAAGCTGGAAGGGCCTGAAGACGGCACTGGTGGAGGCTTCCAGGCTCCGAAGAACATTGAACTCATCGACGATAACAACACCATCCGCGTTGATGGCGTTACTCTCACAAAGCCATTCGTAGAGAAGCCAGTGAGTGGTGAAGACCACAACATCCACATCTACTTCCACAAGAAGGATGGCGGCGGTGGCCGCAGATTGTTCAGAAAGATCAACAACAAGAGCTCGGAAAAGGATGAGACTCTCGACGTACCGAGGGCCATACTCGAACCAACAGGCAGTTACATTTACGAGCAATTTCTACAAGTGGAGAATTCTGAAGACGTCAAAGCCTATACCGTCGGACCAAACTTCTGCCATGCCGAGACAAGAAAGTCACCAGTAGTTGATGGTCTTGTTAAGCGCAACCCTAGCGGCAAGGAAGTCCGATATGTCACGAAACTGAGCGAGTCAGAGGCCGCTATTGCAGCAAAGATTTCAGAAGGATTTGGTCAGCGGGTGTGCGGATTTGATCTGCTCCGCACTGGAGACCAGAGCTACGTTATCGATGTCAATGGGTGGAGCTTTGTGAAGGACAACGGCGATTATTACGACAAGGCGGCCAACATCCTAAAAGACATGTTCTTGAAAGAGATCGCGCGGAAACAACGCAAAGATGCTGCTCAACATGCTGCTGCCGACGCACAAGCTGGTACAGACATTCCTGGAAAGGGTGCTTCAAACCACCGTAAGACTCTTGGGAAACTCTTCAAGAGTCCCAGCATGTCGAGAATGGGAAATCATGCGCACAACCTCCATCATATGCGGCAATCCAACACTATGCCCTCGTCACCCGACACATCACTCAGTTCTACCCCTACCGCATCCTCACCTAGTTTCGAAAAACCCAATCCTGCTACAGTTCTGAGCCCAACAGCCTTTACTTCTACTTCAACACCAGATGGCCCGGCGTCCGAGCCTGATATAACACTTCCGTCTGCATTCGAAGAAGACGATCTGGAACTCGAACCAGAAAGGTCAATGTCAGAAGATCATCTGGAGGTACCCCCTCCAGCAACGGCGGCACAGTGGAAGCTCAAAGGTGTTGTGTCTGTCATTCGACATGCGGATCGCACTCCGAAGCAGAAGTTCAAGTACACTTTCCACTCCAAGCCATTCGTCGACCTACTCAAAGGTCACCAGGCAGAAGTGCTACTGATTGGAGAGGTAGCATTGCAAAGTGTGAGCGATGCCGTCAAGTTGGCTATGGACGAAGGCCTGGAAGACTCGAAGAAGCTGCGTGAGCTGCAATTGTATCTGAATAAGAAGGGCGCTTGGCCTGGAACAAAAGTGCAGATCAAGCCTATGTTCCGGAAGCGAAGAAAGGAAGAGCTGCTGCCAGGAGAGACTTTACCCGAAGAAACTCCTGAGGCACAAAAGCCTGAGCCAACTGCTGATGCTAAGGAGACGACCGAGGCTACCAGCGAAGAAGGCGGACCCGAGCCACTTAAGAACAGGAGTGACTCCATGTCTGGTGTTACCTTGTCTCGTATCACCGCGCAAGATAACAACATGGTGCTGGACAAACTACAGCTGATTATTAAGTGGGGAGGTGAACCTACTCACTCCGCTCGACACCAAACACAAGACATGGGTGCGAACTTCCGCAACGACCTTTTGTTGATGAATCGGGATGTATTAGACGATGTTCATATCTTCAGCAGCTCGGAGCGACGAGTGACCACCAGTGCACAGATATTTGGAGCGTCATTCCTGGAAAAGGAACAGTACCAATCTGAGCACATCTCAGTTCGCAAGGACCTTCTAGACGACTCGAACGCGGCAAAGGATGTCATGGACAAGGTCAAGAAGAAGCTCAAGACTTTGCTACGCGCGGGCGACAAAGCTCCACCTCAGTTCGCGTGGCCGAAAGATGTACCAGAGCCCTACATTGTCGTTCGGCAAGTGGTGGATCTGATGAAGTTCCATCAGCGCGTTATGAACCACAACTTCAAGAAGATCGAATCTGAAGCGATCTCATCCCTAGCTGCACTAGCATCTCCACCAGGCGGGGCACAATCGTCAGGGCAATCCCAGTACACCAATGTTAACCATATTCAATCACGTTGGTGCTGTAATGAAGGCCCTGAACTTTTCAAAGAACGGTGGGAGAAGTTGTTCAAGGAGTTTGGAGACGCTGATAAAGTCGACCCAAGCAAAATATCTGAGCTTTACGACACGATGAAGTTCGACGCCCTACACAACCGCGCCTTCCTTGAATGGGTGTTTACGCCCGATGCCAGCTTTGTCGATGAAGACTCAGTTGCGGACGGGTCAAAGCAGACTACGCCTGACAACAGTTCAGGGAAGTCGATACCAGTTGGCCCCAGTCCATCAGAAGCTCAGTTGAAGGCGGAGGCGAAGGAGAAAGAACAGAGCACGGAAAAGACCCATGAGCGCGGTAGCCTGTCCCATCGCATGGGTTTCAGGCGCAAGTCTGAGCTTACCGTCAAAGCTCCTGCGCCCCCATCGTATGTACACGAGTCGTACTTCAAGCTGTATTCTGGTCTCGGGACCGCGACGTCCAAGGCACAGACTGATGCGCGACTTGTCAAGTTACGTGAGATGTACCACCTCTGCAAGGTCTTGTTCGACTACATCGGACCACAGGAATACGGCATCGAGAGCGAGGAGAAGCTAGAGATTGGCCTACTTACATCGCTTCCACTACTCAAAGAGATTGTTGGAGACCTGGAAGAGCTTCAGGCGTCTGACATGCCGAAGAGCTTCTTCTACTTCACCAAGGAATCACACATCTACACATTGCTCAACTGCATTCTGGAGGGCGGTATCAAGACCAAGATCGAACGCAATGCTATTCCAGAGCTCGATTACTTGTCGCAGATAAACTTCGAGCTCTACGAGTCGGAGAATGCTAGTATTGATGATAAGCCGCACACCTTCAACTATAGTATTCGCATCACGTTATCGCCAGGCTGTCATGCCTTCGCTCCACTTGATGTGTAAGTCACGCTTTCTGCCTTATATACCTCGGTGGCTACTAATGTGAATAGACAATTGGACTCACGCCATATGATTGGCTTCGCGCCTCGTCGCAGCCTCACTCTCCACCAAGATTGGAAAGAAGTCCTCGAGACTCTTCGCGCAAAGTTCCATACGTAAGTGTCTCTCATAGCTATCAAATGCTTCAGAAGCTTGCACTAACGATTTCCAGCGTCAAACTCCCGAAATCCTTCGTCGCCATCGACCTCAGCGAAAAGGTTCCTGAGGCTTTCGAGCGTAGCACTAATGGGAATGGGAAAGAGCATAAAATGACTGAGAGTGAAGAGCGAGGTCGATCAGACGAGCGAGATGAAGACGCGTCACACATACCTATTGCAAATGAGAAGGGCGAAATAATAAGCCCAGGAGAGATTGTAAGTCCGGAACGCTTGGCGCTTGATAATGAAATCAGTCCAACGGGCTTACCGCCGCCGGCGCTAGACGTAGAGAAGGAGTAAGAAGAAGATGAGGCATTATTGATAGGTTGGGAGAGTCTTCTAGTGTCAACAAATTCTTATTAATTGGTCGGGATCTGGCGAGGCAGCCTGTTACCGTTTACCAGAACCACTCCAAGCTCCTCATTGTCCAAGGCGCCTAGTCCTCACACTCTAAGCAGTTTCATGAATCTTTTTTTTTGTTTGTGAGGCAGTTAGTACAGTATCGAGATGGCTGGAGTAAGTTGCTCTTTTCTGCCTGACTTATTACCGAATTCTTCATGACATATCGGAAATCGCACTTGCGATACGAGAAATTGCGACTGCAAAGACACAGAAGGCAAATATTGGCCCGATTGGCTTATCTCAGATAATTTGCCCAACTTTGTGCCGCTGGAGCCGCATTTGCTGCAGCAATTGCGCCAGCAGCATCACCCTTAGAGCTGTCCAATCCAATCTCAAAACCATCGTAACCGCAACCGGTCGGCGCTCCTGGCTCAGAACCGTCTAAGCCAGGGACGAACTGCCAATAAAGCTTCATTGTACATTAGCATGCCTTTTTTCGAATATGTACAGCTCTCATGCTTACCCAAGGAACTCCAGCATCATTGAATATCTGAGCCTGAGTGTCGAAAGAATCCTGAAACTCAGTCGAAACGCCCCACTCTTCCATCATGACGTTCTTTCCTACAGCTCTTGCTCCACTCAAAACATCCTTGTCGCCGGTAATGTAGTAGGCCCAGTCGGATGCCTTACTCATGTATCCATGCATACTGATGATGTCGATTGCATCGCATTGCATGGCCTTCTTCAGCGTATTGAACTCGTGGTCACAGCAATAGTGAGATCCGCCAATACCGCCTGTGGCGATCTTGATATTAGACGATCCAAGTGCATTACGCATCACTCCAGCACGACCACATAGCCAGTCATCCGGGTCATTGTTGTTCAACTTGTCGAGCTGTTTGATCAGAGGCTCGTTCTGGAGGTCGAAAGCCATAATCACTTGATCTAGGCTTTTCCAGGCGTCGCCAAAGTTTGGTGACTGGTAGTTGAGGATCTCTTCTAGTCGCTTGTCGTAGTCTGCTTTGGCTTCGGTCGAGGAATAGAAGGTAGATGCACCGGTATATTTTTGGCAGTACGCATCACAGGCCACATCATCGGTTAGTGAGTTGGCTTTGTGAGGAGATATGATAGCTTTCATCCCGTTGTCGTGGAGAAGCTTGAGTGTAGCGTCCAATGCAGCTAACACAGTGGTATCGAATACGCCAACGGAAGTTTCGAGCGGCGGCATGGAATTGGTGATCGTGCTTCCTTTCAAACACCCTTCATCAATGTTTGTTACTATACACCGATCGTTAGCATCCGATTCACTATTTCTTCCAGTCTGCCTATGCAGATATTCATCAAGGCTTTAAAGGAGGTTTTGGTTGTACATAGACATCGTATCATTGTGGCCTGCATCATCAGGACTTTGCTCACCCCATAGCCTTATGACCTTCGCCCCCCATCCAGCAAGTGTCTCGATGTATGTCTTTTGCTCGGAAGCAGACAGCGCATGAAGAAAGTACTCGTTACTTCCTGCAAAGGATGTCGATGTTTGTCTCCGTGTTGGTACGAAATCCTCGACTGCTGTTACCGCTAACCCGACAAGGACGGCAAATACCATACGGCCGCGCATATCATAGGTGTTGGCCAGTTCACCCGAGTAGGGTTATAAAAAGAAGAAACAGATGCTATTTACAGCAGTGCTCAGTAACGGCACTCGCAGTCAACATGAGAAGGCTTTTATACGCCATAAAGGCCATTCAAATCAACCTTGCTGGTGTCGCAGATAGCCTAATACGTCTGCACCCATGGTGAGAAGTATGGGGCTAGCCTTCCCAGCCATATTGGCTCTCAAGCCACTTAAATCGTCGATCGACTATTTATATATCACCGAGAATCTCCGGGTAGCCCAGTCTGATTCTGTCAGCTGCTTGTGACAGAACGGTGCGAAAGCACTTGTTTAGATATTCCTCAGTACCGTGCATGCAGCCTTGCAGGCGCCTCCGCACCATCCCACTCACCTCAATTGGCTCAACAAGTAGCCCAAATATCGATGGCTTTGAACTCGCCAAATCTGGTAAACGCTGGACATTAATAAAAACGCCAGAGCCCTATCCGTCACTATCAGACCACCAGCGTCCCTCGCCCGGCGTTGTACATGCAGCACATTTTCTCAGCCTTGCCCATATGTTGAGGCCAAATCCCATTTATCTGCGTATGGGGGCCAATAAGAGTTCAGCTCTACCGATTCAGGTATGCGCATGCAGGTGTGCTTGCTATCACAGCAACAAATCCGCTTCTGAAGAATGAAGAACGGGAGGGCTCGACGCACACGGTTCGAGTCTGCCCTGCCTACAAAACGCTTTGGCTCGATTCCGACTTAGCATTTTCCGCATCTCTTTCGATAGCCTCTCCGGTGTGAAGAAGGCTCTCATCGTTTTACTCAGCAAAAGAAAAGATACGCTAACAGACAATATAATGTTCGGAACACGAATCGTTTTCGCTCTTGCTCTTGTTCTAGCCTTGGCCAACATCGTGGCTACCAGCGGACCGACGAGTATCTTTATCGATCAGATTGAAGAATATGCTCTCCTGGCAACATGTGCAGAGCTCGAGTTATCGACCATTGTGCGGAATATGAAGTACGGATGTGGAGATGGTGGCGACGGTGCGTTCCAGTCGTTTACTTGTTGTGAGTTTCCATCATGGGATACGACATGCGTGTGAGACATGCTCTGACCTTGTATCTATTCCCTTTGTAGTCTGTTATGAGAGCTCTGCCAAGTTCTCCAGCATGATTGGTGCTCATGTCGCCACCGAGTGTCCTGACGATCCTTCACAGAACACGACTGCATTGGAGGTTTTCAGTAGTTATTGCGAGATTGGAGGGTCTAAATTGGCCGAGATTACTGGTGAGTAATGAGGTGTTTCTGACTTGGAGGGTGACGAACTAACATGATGATTAGCTGCTACAACATCCATACCATCGATAACATCATTACTGTCATCTACGTTTGCTTCTCCAGCATCGACACCACGGTCAGCAACATCTACCCCCACAACACCGGTATCATCACCTCAGCCAACGGAAGCGACCGAGCAGGCTTCTACTTCTAAGAACAACCGCACGGTTGCCATAGCCGCAGGCGTTGCCATTCCGGTTGTCGTCCTAGCCTCAGCTTTTGTGGTCTTCTTTTTGTTCCGTCGTCATAAGAACAAGAAGCAGCACAGTAGATTCAATGCTTACGAGGTAGACGCTTCCACGGTGGACGCATCAAAGGCAGGCACATGTCATGAGGTCAGCGACAAAGGGCAAATCGCAGCAGAGATGCCGAACCCGGATCCCCAGGAGTTGGATGGTGAGAGTAGAGGGACATGAGATCGATCCAGTGTTTTGGTAATAAAAGGTCCTTCGAGTTCGGGCTAAGACAGTCGGTATAGTTTTGGGCGGGCGTGGGTCTGTAGAGATACTCTGCCAAAAAAAACAACGAATTAGACGCGCCAAAAACTGGAACGTTCAAACAGGGGTTTCGACATTATAAATATAAGGGTATTTGGAGGGACTTTGGGGGATTTACTACAGGATGCACAATGGCCATGCAAATCCACTCGAAGTGTTCTGCCATCCCGATCGGTACCATCCACCACATCAAAGAAGCATCGCGGGAACAGGGCTGTGACTACGTGTACCGACGTTGCGTTTACGCGAACAATGGACGGATCGGTTAATCGCTGTCCGCTCGAACCGTAACGAAGATAACACGACAAGTTATTAGCGAAGTGGAGATCTTAGTCCACGTCATCTCTTGACCAAGTCGATTAGAGTCGTTCCTTCGCGTATCAGCCAAATGACCATGCTAGGTCTGACCAAGCTCTTGCCATTTTGTTGTGAGTTGTGGTAAGCCAGTTTCCAGATGCTCCATCCAGCTAGTCGATGCTTCATGACTGCCACCAACTCTGCTAAATTCGTACGAGTGGAAAGGGATACCATTTTCAGAAGGGCTGGGCCTCCTTTCATCCAGTCTATAAGCTCCCCAGACAGCTAGGGAAAGCCGCATAAGTATCCTTGTTCGACCATTGTAGAATGCGGTTCCGCAAAGATGATCCTTCGGGCCGGGTGGCAGCGTGTGTATGCTCCGTAGATGCGCATGCTGGAGACAGCCAAATTCCCATCGACTACTAAAATGGCTAGGCGGCGATCGGATCGTCAAACTTAGTTTGTCTCATGTGACACGAAGTAGTACATAGCAATCGTCCTGGAAGCCTGCATGCATACGATTTTGAACACGAGTCATTGACGCAGCGGGTATTTGTATATTAGATAGTGCCCGTTGAGAATGATCTGGGGAAGCATTGCTGTTGCAAACGCATCCGTATGAGCGACAAGATCGTCATTGTGTCTCTTGATAGGAAAGAATCTCGAGCAGGTTGACAGTCGTTGTATCGGAAATGCTGGAAACGGCAAGCCGGAGTGTCGCTCGGCACCATCTTCGCCTCGATAGAACGGTGTTATGCGGGGTACCGGGGTAGATCCAGCTACCCCGCAAACTAGACGTTCGGAGAGCAACCGTCACGGTCGCATGTGTGTGCGTGGCGCAACCACGGAGTGTTTCCGCATCCAGGCACATCCAGATTGCCAGTCTCATGTCCTAACCCGTGACATATCCGACCCCCTTAGACGTCCGGCCAGATGGGATACTAGAGAAGATCGACAGAGTCTCGAAAGATCATTCGAGTATAGCGGCATCCATGGACGAAACACAATTCGCCCTGGTTGTCGGGCACAAAATCGTTGCAGGATCGCGAGTAGCATGACGATCGTGCAGGATTCGCGTGGGAGGGGTATCTTGTAGACCAAGGTATATAAAGATAGCGTGTCGCCCATACCGTGCCCATCAGTGAGATCGACAGCACCCTTTGATTTCTCAATCTTCCCTCTTCTCAAAAACTCTATCTTCACGATGGTCCACTTCCGGACAGATATTGGCGCGACGAATGAAGCGGCGGATCCGAATAATGAGAACTATGCAAAAGAGCTCGAGACTGATGTGCTGATCGTAGGTGCTGGCTTCGGCGGCATCTACCTAATGCACAAGCTTCGCCAACAGGGTTTCAAATGCAAGATTATGGAGGCTGGTACCAACATTGGTGGTATATGGCATTGGAACTGCTATCCTGGAGCTCGAGTCGATTCTCAGGTTCCTATCTATGAGTACAGCATGCCTGAGATCTGGCAGGTAAGCCGGATATTTGACCAATCTCTTTTTGTCAAGACTGACACTTGTTTGTTAGGATTGGAACTGGTCGTGCAGATATCCCGGTACGGAAGAGCTCCAAAAGTACTTTGACCACGTCGAGAGAAAGTTGGATATTAAGAAGGACTGCGCATTCAACACCAGGGTTGTCGGCGCACAATTCGACAAGCCTTCATCGAAGTGGGTGGTGAAGACAGAAGACGGTCGCACAGCGCGCTGCAAATATTTCCTCTTGGCCCTAGGTTTCGCGGCAAAGCGCCACTTTCCCGATTGGCCAGGTATGGACAAATTCAAGGGAGAGATCCATCACAGCTCATTCTGGCCTGCATCTGGAGTAGATGTCACGGGCAAGCGTGTTGCCGTCATTGGAACTGGGTCGACCGGTGTCCAAATCGCCCAAGAGACTTCGAAAACGGCCGCAAGTATAACGCAATTTGTTCGAACGCCGAACCTTTGCCTGCCTATGCAGCAAAAACCTCTGACCAAAGAGGAGCAGGACAAGCGGAAACAAGGAGAATATCAGGAGATCTTCAAGAGAAGGCTGACAACGTTCGCTGGCTTCCAGTACGATTACATTGAGAAGAACACATTTGACGACTCGCCTGAGGAGCGCGAAGCGTTCTACGAGAAGATGTGGGAGAACGGTGGTTTTGAGTTCTGGCTGGTAAGATACACACGTCAAGCTCGGATGTCGGTAGAAACTTACATATCTGCAGGCAAACTACAAGGACTTGTTATTTGATAACAAGGCCAACCGCGAAGCCTACAACTTCTGGGCCAAAAAGACGCGTGCCCGGATAACAGATCCAGAGAAGCGTGAGATTCTTGCGCCTCTGGAGCCCCCACACGCATTTGGCACAAAGCGACCGAGTCTGGAACAAAACTATTATGAGATGCTCGACAAGCCCGAGAACAAGGTTGTCGACGTGAACAAGAATCCGATCAAGGAAGTTACAGAGAAGGGCATTGTGCTATCTGACGGTACGCTTCACGAGTTTGATGTCATCGCCCTCGCAACCGGCTTCGACTCAGTGACTGGTGGAATGAAGAACATGGGACTTAAGGATGTTGACGGCGTTGAACTGTCGGAAAAATGGAAAAACGGTACTTACTCGTACCTGGGTATGAGTTTGAGCGGGTTCCCGTAAGTCGCCAAACACAGCCAGCTTGTTGGAGATACTGACTGGATCGTAGTAACTGCTTCTTCCTCTATGGCGCCCAGGGTCCGACGGCGTTTTCCAACGGACCCACGTGCGTTGAGGTCCAGGGAGACTGGATCGTGGATGCCATGGTCAAGCTTCGAGAGCAAGGTATCAACTACTGCGACGCCACACACGAAGCAGAGAAGGAATGGCGGGAGAAGATCACTGAGCTCTCCGATAAGACGCTGTTCCCGCAGACCAAGTCGTGGTACATGGGCGACAACATTCCTGGCAAGCTTCGAGAGCAGTTGAACTTTGCGGGCGGGTTCCCATTGTACAGTGAAATGACGCGGAGTGTGCTGGATAAGGGCTTTGAGGGTTTTGTTACTGCGTAGATATCCATTGCCGAGGAATAGGGCTATTATCTGTTGTAATTAACTATATTCATCTTTCTGTTATGCAACTCTACAATCTTTTGTTCCAGTATGCAAGAAGAAGAAGCTGAGATTATACAATTGTAGTCCTTCTCGTTGGAGACCATGGTTCCGTCTGGGTATAGCTTGCATGAGGAGGATGGTCCGCGCGTGGGGGTATGCGAGGTCATGTCCGGCGTAGTGGGAGGAGAGGGGTAGGCTTGTTGGTGGCCGCGGAGGAGCGGTGGTGGGCGGATGACGATCGGTGTCACATGGAATTTGCGCCGACCGACGTCACGACCCACGCTTGCAACCTGGCTGAGGTCGAGCATCGCTCGCTACATTACTCCATGGAAGTCAGACGCGTTGTATCCACACAACACCCGGTACCATGAGGACAGCGTTCCTTTTTGGTCGCCAATGCTTCCGCCCAGGCCTCCCTAAACTCGCCGCCCGCGCATGCACGCGTCCATGGACCAGCAAGGCATCTCGCCTCGGCCGACAATTCGCGACTCCAAAGTTCAACGGCCGAACGCTGCTATGGTCAGGCGCAGCAACGGGGGCTGCGGGGGGCGCGATACTCAGCCCACTCGCATTTGTCCAGGTCGCCAAAGACGAGTCGGATCATGGAGAAAAGACGCACGAGGAGGCCATGCTGGAGGCGTCGCGCAAGGAACTGAATGAGCAGGTGCCCCATGCGCTGAGGAACTCTTCCAAGTACAGACGGGGCATATACTTCCTCATCGACGACTACATCATCGAGCCCATAGCTACCGGATTCCGCTTTCTCCATCTCATCATCATCTTCGTGCCAGTCATAGTGACGATACCTGCGATATGGCTTGGATCACGGCAGCCGGATAGGGACAACGAGCGGAGCGGGACACTGTGGTGGTATGGCTTCCTGGTCGGATCCATGGAGAGGGCTGGTGCTGCCTTCATCAAGGTGCGTATTGCTACACCAGAACATGGCCCATCGACTGCAGACTAATCCTCTTACCAGCTTGGGCAATGGGCAGCCTCCCGAACAGACGTCTTTCCGACCGAGATGTGTCTCATTATGTCAACCCTCCACTCCAACGCCCCGGCGCATACACTGCAAACCTCGAAGCGAACAATCGAGGCGGCATTTGACGGACAGAGCTTCGACGATATTTTCGAGGAGTTTGACGAGAAACCACTGGGCGTGGGCGCCATCGCGCAGGTATACAAGGCAAAGCTGAAGCCACACCTTGCCACGCTAGAGGACAACTCGATCGATCGAAAAGAAGCCAATCTAGCGCGTCGGATCAAGAAGAACGTCGACGTGACGCTGAAGAGCTCACCCTCGAGAGTGCCATCCAGCCATGTTGCCATCAAGGTTCTCCATCCCAACATCGAGAAGATAGTTCGGAGAGACTTGCGTATAATGGGTTTCTTCGCGGCTATTATCAACGCCATACCCACCATGGAGTGGTTGTCGTTTCCCGATGAAGTGGAACAGTTTGGTGAGATGATGAGACTGCAATTAGATCTACGCATCGAAGCCGCGAACCTCACCCTCTTCCGACGAAACTTCAAAGACCGAACCACTGCCTGGTTTCCTTATCCTTACACGGAATACACTACGCGCAACGTGTTGATCGAGGAATTCGCCCAGGGTATTCCTATGGAAGACTTTTTACAAAATGGAGGTGGAGTATTTCAAAAGGACATTGCAGATGAAGGCTTGGATGCCTTTCTTACCATGGTCCTTATCGACAACTTTATCCATGCCGACCTACATCCAGGAAACATAATGGTCCGGTTCTATAAACCCGAGCAGCTAGACGTCTCAATCTTCGCCAGAAAGGAAGATCGAAGGACCGGCCCCAAAGAGTCGCTCGATGTTACCGAAGAGGTACTTGAGCGCCTGCGGCCACACAAGAAAGATTCCCAGCAGTGGAAAGCGAAGCTACAAGAGATCGATAACGAAGGATATCGACCACAGCTCATCTTCATCGATACGGGTTTGGTAACAGAACTCAATGGAAAGAATCGCGCCAATTTTCTGGATCTCTTCAAGGCTGTTGCCGAGTTTGATGGTTACAAGGCAGGACATCTGATGGTAGAGAGATGTAGACAGCCAGATGCAGTACTCGACGGAGAAGTCTTTGCTTTGCGCATGCAACATTTGGTCTTGGGAGTCAAGAGCCGTACTTTCGCTCTTGGCAACATCAAGATTGGAGATATCCTTAACGAGGTTCTCTCTATGGTGCGAACGCATCATGTACGGCTTGAAGGCGACTTTGTAAACGTTGTTCTTAGTATCCTCCTCCTAGAGGGTATTGGAAGGAGTTTGAACCCAAACCTGGATCTCTTTGCAGGGTAGGTCATACAGCATAGTACAGAGGGTCATCTACTAACATCGTCAGTGCTCTGCCAATACTTCGACAACTCGGCACGCAAAGTGGCTCTTCGATGATTCGTGGAGGCGACTTTTCGATGCTCAAGGTCTGGGTCGGTCTTGAGGCGCGCAGCTTCTTGCAAGCCTCGATTGATACGGTATGGCAAACTACACTCGTGTTGCACTGCGATACTAACAAACACCCAGGTCGAACGATGTGTCAAGTCCGACCAGCTTTCCCCGAATATATAATTGACTCATGCATACTACCGCATGAGATACTCTGTGTTATTCAAACTTTCAGCTATTGTGAAAGAGACCATAATTGGTTTCTCTGAAAGACGCAAGCCGTCTCATACATCCAGCTCACAGGCAGAAACACTACCTTGTGGACGTCTTTACACAATAAAGGCACCGTCACGTCCATATAGAAACATGTATTTCACAAGCCATCTGTCTTGCTATGCGTTTGGAAGCCGAGGCGCTGCACTGCCGTCCCACAGTTTTAAGCACCCGCTTACCGTGGAGGGACGCGTCAAGGCGACAAGGGTCTTGCGCCATGACGTCACGCCTGGGGTAAGCTTCGCAGCTATGCCATACAACATCACTCTTCTCATGTACAATACGTCTTACAACCAATTCATTCAAAAGATTAATAGAGTTGCCTCGTAACTTTTTGACTGAAACCCTGCATTTCTTGCCTTAACACATACGACACTCTTGCCAGCAACAATGGAGGCCGGAGCCGCTGGTGTGCTCTACGCAGCCGAGAATCTACTCGAGGGTGCCGTCGCCCTCGTAAAGGGCATTACTCATCCGACACTGCCCATCAAGGCAAATCTTACGCGTATATCTTCGGTTCCCCTCGCTCGCTCGCACCATACCGTCTCAGTAGTGAAGGGTCGCGCATACATCTTTGGAGGAGAGACCGAGGCTGGCAAGCTCGCAGACAATGACATGCACATTGTCATTCTACCATCGAGCGGCGTTCTCGATGCCGACTACACCAAGTATCCCGCTCGCGCGACAAACGGTCTGGATGACGTACCGAACTCGAGAAAAGGACATACGGCTACGGTGATAGGAGATAGTATATACGTGTTTGGCGGCGAAGGAGAGAGTGTGGCAAACGAGAAGGGGCGGGTTTGGGGTTATGATACAGTATCGAACACCTGGTCTTACCTTGATCCAGCGGAAGGCACGCTCTATCCCAGCCAGCGAGCTGGTCATGCTTCGGCGAGCTCAGATCTGCCAGGCCCGAAGACAACGACATATGTCGAGAAGGCACCACAAGCACCTGCTGACCCCGCAAAGAATGTTCCTGAGCCGCCGGAAGCTAATTCATACGGGACCATCTTCGTAGTCGGAGGTCGCGATACCTCGAGCAATGACCTTGCAAATGATGCGCTTGCATTTGACGTCAAGACGAGAACATGGACCAACATACCTTCTCCAACAGGGCAGCCCCGAGAAGGCGCAGGCTTAGCACTCGTTGGCAGTCGCCTATATCGATTTGGTGGCAAGGGCATCGAGACGTTTGCCTCAGGTGCGACTGAGTACGTGGACGCATCACATGTATGGACACATGCAGAACGCGGAACTACACCGGTCGCGAGTGGCTGGAGCTGGGAAGAAGTGAAGCACACGGACAGTCAAGGTAGTACTGCTACAGCACCACAGGCGCGGGCAGACGCAGGACTTGTAGGCGTCACGACAGGCCAAGGGCGACACTACCTGCTAGCCGTCGGCGGAGAAACCGAAGACGGGAGCTACCTTGACGATATATGGGCATTGCAGCTTGCACCTGAGCGTTACACGGCCGCAGCAACTAAGGACACTATCCGCTCCAGTATGAAGAGGGACACGCATGAGTCGCAGTGGGCCGAGGTAGTATACCGGTACGTAGACACAAAGGGCGAAGAAGAGAAGGAGATACCAGGAAAACCAAAGAGGGGTCTCGGAGTAAGAGGACATTTCGGTATCGCCAAGGGTACAGAGGTTGATGGAGCGACATGTGTAGTGTGGGGTGGTGTTGACACGAACGGTAGTGTACTAGGCGATGGTTGGATGATTACTGTTGACAGGTGAGCTGTCATGTCGTGCTTTCATGAATATAGATGGAACATGCACTTTAAACATGCATCTACGGCAAATAATGTTTGACCGCCTAGAATGTGGTCAATTTGTGGATCTCCGATGCTCCTTCCTGTGCTATCTTTAAGAAAGATTTCTCAAGATTTTCCAGCTTTTTCCTGGTGTATGCATGATCTTATAGGGAGAAGCTCGTATTTCCTTAATTTTCTTGTTCCTAACAACGTTGTAGACGCGACGTGACGCGACGCTCGGGGCAATTACCGGCGTAACGATGCGGCAAACAGCACCAAGCCTCAAGACCCCCTAGCCATCTGGATCTGCGCTGCGCTACGCTTTACGTTGTCTTTATACTCTTGCGCATAGGTATTGGATGCCGCTAAGCGCAATCAACACCTTTGTATCTGCTCTTTGAGGCTATCAGAGTCTGTATTGGCGGAGTGGGTGTAAAAGTGAAACAACAAAGCTCGCCCAATCAGGAAAGTGACGGCAAAACACGACCAATCCTCGGCTGTATCTATAAAGCGACTACCCGTCTACAACAACTCAGATAGCCCTACAAGGATTCGGGGTGCATCTGGATAAACACGAGCTTCGATTGAGTGGCTGACAGCGGCGCGAGCACGGGAATGACGGAGAGGGCCGACCCAGTAGGGTGCCGCTAGAATACAATGCAGAACCTGGGAATTTTGGGCATTATGCGCCTGCTTTCTGGGCTCTGGGGAGAATTGGCTTTAATTCTGCTGCTTCCCCAGCATGGCGTTGTGCGAGGATCTGGATTCCAGGACGATCGTACTGGTTACGCTGCGCCTGGAGAGCACATACACCAGCAAAGACTACAGTCAGTCTCTTACAACGAGTCGACGAGTGAAAAAGACTTGGAAGAGTCATCAATTATGGGTTGGGGTGAGTCATGATCTCATGGTCTATAGAGAGTGGTGAGAGGTGACGAAACTGATTATGTATCAACAGGCGGAGATTTGACTCTAGTGAACGGTTCGCCGTTCAGGTGGATTTTAAACAGCCAACACTCATATCAAATGGACACATGGATATGGCCAACAATCAACGCTGGTATGAACAATTCTGAACTAGAAACGACACCGCCACTGACTAAAAAAGGCCAAGCATCCAGAGTCTATGTGGAATTCGGGACCAGAGGAAGCACCCGTGACGATGCGGGTGAGGCCTACTACAGTATCGATGAAACATCGGACAAGTTCACAGTATTGAGTCGAAAGCCTTCAGACTACAAGCTCACCATATCTTTGGACGGTATGTCGACGAAGCAGAGTTCGCAAGGAGCAAAGATCGACCTGGGCTTTCGGCACAACGCTGCAGTCAACTGGATCATGTCTGTGGACGAAGCAGGTAATTGGTGGTCGAACAGCGGTACGTATTCGGATTGGATGCAGCAAAGTCTGGGCTCGTTGGCGAATAGAACCTTGAAGCACATCTGCATGCCGGGCTCTCACGATGCAGGCATGGGTACCTTCAAACCTGGTACCATCGGTGCGCACTTTGCGAACACCCAGACACAATACCTAAATTTCTATCAACAACTAATGGCCGGATCACGGTATTTTGACCTTCGTCCAGTGCTCTCTCGAGGGGAATGGGTAGCCGGTCACTATGGCCAAGTTGGCGACATCTGGCTTGGTGGTAATGGGCAGACGCTTGAAGAGATCATACGTCAGATCAACGACTTTACAGCAGATTACCAAGAGCTCGTCATCATAAATTTAAGCCACACGCTCGACACAGACAACAAGTACAAAGACCTTACCCAAACGCAATGGAACGATCTCTTCACTACACTGAAGAGCATCAACGACCGCTATATTCTCGAAAACCCAGGCACCACTGATCTCTCTGATAAACGCCTAGGAGAATTCATCACCGACCGTGCTTCAGTCCTCGTGGTCGCCCAGATACCTGAAGATATAACACTAGGCGACTTTGCAAGCCAGGGTTTTTACTCCGGTCGTAATTTTCCGTTCTACGACGAATACAGCAATAGCAACAACCTTGCCAACATGAAGAGCGATCAGTTAGCCAAACTAAAGCAGAATCGAAACATCGTGAGGGAAGAAAATGAGAAGAAGGATGCTTTCCACATCTTCTCCTGGACGCTGACGCAACAACCTGAAGACGTACTGAATTTTGACAAAGCCATCATGTTCGTAATCCGCCTTCCCTGCTTACAATTTCTTCCCCGGACTAACATGACACATAGGAATATGGCCGCGTCAGCCTTCGACGATCTAATAAGCGAAGCCTGGAACGCTTTTACGCCGCAAAGCTTCCCAAACGTATTGTTCGTAGATAGTCTTGGAGTCAGGGATAAGAGTGTGGTTTTCCCGTTTGACAGACCAAAGCAGGGCTTACATCCCAACTCTGATATTGCTGCATTTGCTGTTGCAGTAAACAACGGGATCGCGGGGAAGAACGGAATTGTCACTGGGAGACAAATGAAAAGGGGGACTTAACGTCTAGAATAGCTAAGTATATGGAATTGCTTTTGATGATTCGAGAATAGACTTCGTCCTCAGTCCTACACAAGATCCGAAGCGAAGTATTAAACATACGTGAATGTTTGTAGGAACGTTGTAGCCAGACAAGGCATTCAGCACCCCGCACAGCATCTTAAAGTTTTTGGCCGATACCTCTCCGTGGAGATGATCCTTTTGCCCAATCGAGTCGAGCTATCGGTGCAGAGTGTCAAGTGTGACTGTGGTTGATCTATGACGCAGAACATGCACACGAAAGTATGCCACTGGCGCGAGATATTCGTGGTTCATGGATCGCGTTTGTCCGCCTGCAGTGCTTCTTGCTAGACCTTCCTTATTCCTTCGGTCTGACTCCATTCCGGACAGGAAGCCTCACGAAATCTTTGTTTACAAACACGGATGTCAGGCATAGGGCCAATAGTAGATCTTGACGAACATATCCGACTCTACATCCACATCGCATCTCGATATCGATAGACGTTGCGATGATCTACATTTGTCATGCTGTTCTTCATAATTCCATGCAGGTCCCTGATGTCGGTGATCTACGACTGATCAGCGGCGGGACGACAATCCTCTGTGCGACAACGTTGTGTGCCGCTCGTGCATGTAACCGATGCTGATCTTCGATGTTAGGTTCGACCTATCGCCTTACAGTTCACCCACTGTATAACAAAGTACGTCCGGCGGACAAGGAAACAAATGTTAGTGGAGGAAAAAGTAGACGCCCTCATGGTGCAACACGCCCAGACAGACCACGACCCCTGAGGCATTCATGTACATTAACTTCTCAGGCTGCAGCCGACGTGCTCATCATGCAATACGAGTATTTGCGGGTATACGGCATGCGCCAAGTGCCACGAGATGCAACGGCAGAGCAAGTGCTTGTTCTTGCTTAGCAGAAGAAGCGATACGGGTAGGGGACGCCTTGTTTCTCCACATGATTTCCTTGGCTCAATCGCCCCTTGGAGACGCTATATCCAGCGTAAGGGAAGAAAAAGAATATATGACCGCAGCTGGATATCGATAATGTGGAGGCTGCAGGGCCGTCCTATCCGGTTCTGGCCTTATGTGTCAGGGTAAATTATTAGCCCATGAGTAGGATGTATGAGTGGCACAAGGGTCAGTGGTGATGCCTGGTATCCCAGCTCACGCGGCACCGGGAGGCGGATGTTGAGATATGCGATCGGGAATTCTACCAGTCGCGATACAGGCTGCAAACGATCCTTCTCCACCGTTGAACTCCGTAAGCCTAAGAGTTGCTAAGAAATGGTCGTGCTGTTGCTTGCGCACGAGAAGAGTTTGTCTATCGCAATTTTGTTTTGGCGAGTCAAGCCGCCGGCACGAGGCTGAAGAACCTAGTCACTTGAGCAAAAGCTTGTCTCGCAACAGAAAAGCAATATGCTCAAAATAGACTCGGGCTTTATTCCTTGCGGTATTCCCGAAGTGCATACAGTAGAGCTATTCTATGAGACTATGGAGTGGTGGAGGTTTTGGAGAGGCTGCCTGAATCAGATGTACGAGTGGTTAGCTGCATGGAGACAGAGAGGGGATACGAGGTCTTCCCGTCCCCCTTGATTCCGATCGTCTCGATGCAAAAGGTATTGATTATTGAGCGGCTTGCTTTCGTGGTTGCGTGTTACAATGCGCCATTGCCCTTTGGCGTCGAGTCATGCACGTGGGCAAAGAGTGACGATTCGCGACGGTATACCGACAAAGCGAGGCGTTTGGCGGAAGCAAATATGCCGTCCTGTTGGAGGGTGGGAGCGATTAGTATTGAGTCTCGCTTGACAGGGCACGTGATTGGCCCATCTCGTATCATCGGAAAGCCCACTTGACTCCAATTTTCCTCGGAAGCTGCAGGCGTCTGGACCACAGGGGTAGAGGAGACGTTCAAGGTAGTGGATTCGCGCAACATGCTACCTTTCGCAGAAGAAACTTAATGCAACTGCATGGCTTGGCTTGAAAGACTCGTACGACTGCCTATACGAAGACTTTGGTGGTGATGCGGGGCGGATCTCTTGTCCCTAACAAGCTCTTCCAAGAGTTGCACCCGTCGGTTGGGCGTCCTCGGCAGCTGCTGCCAATGCGCCAGCGCATGTCGGTGCTTTCATGGCTCAACGCCATGGCTGACGCCCGAAGGGCCATCTGTTAGGTGCTGCACCATCAGACCGATCATGGAAGACGTCATATCGCCACGCGCTTAGCATCTCACAACAGCTAAATGATAATTTTCTAGCGTATAGGCGAAATACCATCATCGCAACATGTTGAACTGCGACCGCGCGACGACCATGTATGCCAAGCAACCGTTAAGTGAGGGACAATGGTGGAGAACGTGTGCGATGAATCACTCATTGTTTCGAGCGATTGCCGGCCTACAGACGTCAGAGGCGTGTGGTAATAACATTTCGGATGGCACAGATGCCAAAACACGTTTCAAACGGCTTGGATCAACCATCATGATCTATTTTTCGCTCGACAACGTGATAGAGTTGATGGTTCCTGCATCGCAAAGGAGTCCGTGCTACTTACCACCCATGACGAAACTTCCCAATCGCGCATCATGTCCGCCCGAAGCGAAGCCGGCGCCGCGGGTCGACAGCTTGAAATCTGCCAGCCCCAGGGGCCTGCGGCACCAAGCTTCCTTTTCCCAGGCTGACCGGCACCTGCAGGCAAGTGTCGAGAGCGCTAGCCGTAACGCGAGTCAACATGCCTTACGGGGGTTGCTGGCTGGCTGTCGATCATCTTCGTCCTTCATAAGATGATTCTGCCCGCACGCCTTGATGAGCTTTCTTGGTACCTTCTGTTCGAAGTTCTAATTCTACCTTACCTTCATCTTGACCATTCCTTCTTTTCGGTCCAAGATTCCCCAGTGTGTCGTCGATATTGACCACCACTATCCACTCGCTCACCTCTCTTGATCCGGCCTACCAGATCAACACTTAATTCCGTAATTCGAACCGACCTTATTCTTACAACATGCACTACTCTACCGCACTTGCTGCCGTTGCAGCTATTACTCCTTTGGTCAACGCTCATGGAGCTGCCCTACCCAACATCATTGGACTGAACCCCAGGGATCTCCGCGCTCGGGATTTGCTTTCTCGCACCGGAGCACGTTTTACTGGAGTCAACGAACTTCTCAAGCCCAAGACCCAGGTCAAGACTGCCGTCGTTGCCCGTCAGGATGACCGCCAGTGCGGTGCAGGTGTCGGCAACTGTCCCGCTGGCCAGTGCTGCTCAGAGGCTGGCTACTGTGGTACTGAGGACGACTACTGTTACTCTCCCGGATGCGACTACGCGCACGGCCCTGGCTGCCCTGAGAACGCAACTCCAGGTGGTACCAACACCTCTTCTATCGCTCGTACCAAGCTCGGTAACGTCCAGTACGGTGGTGCTGGTATCTACGGTTGTACCACACCAGGTACGGTTGCTATTACCTACGACGATGGCCCACAAAAGGTCTTCACCAGCCACATTCTTGATGTCATGGCTTCGTACAACGCAAAGGCTACTTTCTTCATCACTGGAAACAACATCAACAAGGGACAGATTGACATCACCCCTGAGTTCAGCGATGTCCTCAAACGCATGGACTCTGAAGGTCACCAGCTTGCTTCCCACACCTGGACTCATTTGGACTTGAGCGCCATTTCCCAGCAAGACCGTTACAACCAGATGATCAAGAACGAGATGGCTCTCCGCAACATTGTCGGCAAGATTCCCACCTACATGCGCCCCCCATACTCCAGCTGCACTGCTGAGTCAGGCTGCGAGAAGGACATGGCTGATCTTGGCTACCACGTCACATACTTCAACCTTGACACTGATGACTATGAACACGACAGCACCACTCTGATCCAGTACTCCAAGGACGTTTTCCTGAGCAACGTCACCAAGGGCCCCGCTGCCAGCAATCAATGGCTCGAGATTGGACATGACATCCACGAGCAGACTGCCATGAACCTTACTGAGTACATGCTCTCCACCCTTACCCAGCTCGGCTACAAGGCTGTTACCGTTGGTGACTGCCTCGGTGACCCCAAGGAAAACTGGTACCGCACTGCTGGTGGTGCTGGCTCTGCCAACCCTACCACTTCTGCTACTGCCCCCACTGCCACTGGAACCAAGCAAGTCACCACCGATGCTACTTGCGGTGGAACCAAGGGATACACATGCCTGGGATCTTCGTTCGGTAACTGCTGCAGTTCTTCCGGTTACTGCGGTACCACCTCAGCCTACTGCGGAACTGGTTGCCAGTCTGGCTTCGGTAACTGCGGCAGCAATGGCGTCGCTCCTACCACCACCAAGGCTACGTCGACGACCAAGGCTGCTACCACCAGCTCCAAGGCCCCTGTCGCCTCTGCTGCAGGCAAGGTTTCCACCGATGGCTCATGTGGCGGTGCTTCTGGCTTCACCTGCGCCGGCTCAACCTTCGGTAACTGCTGCTCCCAGTACGGCTGGTGTGGAAGCACCACCGACCACTGCTCTACTGGCTGCAACTCTGCTTTCGGTACGTGCTCTGGCACTGGAGCGTCTGCTACCAAGGCGGCCGCTACCACTACCACCAAGGCTGCTGCTGCCCCAACCAAGAAGGCTTCCACTGACGGATCTTGTGCCGGAACCTCTGGCTTCACATGTGCTGGATCTTCTTTCGGAAACTGCTGCTCCCAGTACGGTTGGTGCGGAACCACCACCGGTCACTGCGGTACTGGCTGCCAATCTGGCTTCGGTACCTGCAACTAAGTCAACCCCACTTTTGCGTTTCCTCATTTAGTTGGAAGCAAGAATTTTCTATCAGGGGTCGATTAATCTATCGTCATCGAGACATGACGGGGCTAGCCCCGTGAACGACGCGACGAGGTTTATATAAAAAAAGGAACAATAGTTCTCAACTATATTCTTGTACATTACCCTTTTGTACTCTGCTGAATTGATTACTATCGTACAATTCCTGTGTCAGATGTCGCAGGTTG